AATGAAATTTTGATCTCGCTTCCGCATTTGATATATTTAAATACTCATTTAATTTTAATATTTCCGGGGTCGTTACATAAGGAGGGAACGGATCCGGACTATCCACGTGAACGGGAATAAATTTGGACTATCCGATCGCAGGCACACAGATTGCTAGCGTGACCTCCCCATGCGTGCGCTCTGATTCGTTTGGGCTACTGATTGGACAGTCATACGTGACATATTTTTTTTAAATTGTGTTTTGACTCTTAATTTCTGATTTTTTTTTCAAAAATATTCTAAAACCTAAATTTTCACCAATTTTTTTGAAAATTATTTTTAATTTCGTCTTTTATCTATTTTTTTTAATTTTTATATTAAATAAAAATTTATAAATTAAAAATTATATTTTATATATTAATTTTAAATTTTAGAAATATACATGATTACTTGTTTATACCGACAATGAAAATAAGTTATATCTTTGAAAACATTAGAACATAAATTATGAAGTAACAGTGGTGAAAGTTCAAAAGACCATGATTTCAATCTCATTTGTTTTAGAGTTAATTCGAGTAAATAGTTTTTATATTTATATATAAAAATATAAGACAATAATTTATGAAATTTTCCCATAAAAATATAATTAATAAAATTATAATAATTAAATTTATTATATTTTAAAATAAAAATAATATTTTATAACGATTAAATTTTTTAATTAAATTAGTAAAAAATGCATTAAAACGCGGAACTTATATTTTATGTCTCCAAAGTGGTTACTACAATTTCTATTTTAATTTTAAGTTTTTAGTTTTATTCTAACAATTAAATTTAAATATTATAATTAAAATTATTATTTAATTTATAAAAGATAATATTTGTTGTTTACAAAACCAATGCGGTGTGACGTGGTGTCTAAACATCCCGGTGTGACTTGACGACACTGATACCAGTTATCCTCTTTCATTTTTCTCACCGTCGCCGGACCGGACTTTCGAAGAGGCTGGAGCTCAAGCCGGCGAACCAACTTCTCGCCGATCTTTCTATTTTTCCTTCCGTACTCAGTTGTGAACTCGTTTCTTCTACCTCCCTCCATTTCTGTGGTTCAGCGCCGCGGCAAAGTGAGTGCTCTCGTCGTCCCTGTCCTCTTTTTGTTTTATCTAGTGGTTCTGGTTGCTTTTTCTTAGTCTGATTTGGTTTGCGTAGCATATACTTTCCTCTTGCCATTTTTTCCGTTTATGGAATCCGTACCTGTAATTGTTTCAACGGTTTTTCTTTTGTTTTATACAATTTTTCTTTTTAATTTTCTGGTTAAGAAGATACTGTACGGTGGTTGGATACTGTGGATCATACACTCTGTTACTTATTGATGCTTACGTTTTTGAAAAGAAATCTGTTGGTTGAAAGTGAGAAGAATATGATGTAGGGAGTTAAGAGAAAGTTGATGGATTTTGGGTTTTGGGATATTTTGTGGTTTGCTTCTGTTTGAGTAATCTGATTGGATTATTTATTTTTTTTTGTTTGCCTTGGGATTGTTAATTGATATGTCAATATGTGTTTTGCGGCAGAGATGGATTAATGTTCTTTCTAAATTTCCAGTGGTTAACAGCTTCTTATTGAATTCTTGGTTTTTAAGTTTTCTCAGTTTTAGTTTGTGGCTTTTGGTATATTGGACTTCTGGATGGGGTTTTTCTGGTTTTAGCTTTGTTTGTCTTTGGTCTTGATTTGGTAGTGTTTGTGAGCTTTATATCTATTTTGCTGTATGGTTTCCATCTGGCAGTCTCGAGATTTTTGCAATAAGATCAGCGTAAAGGAAAATGGAGGCACTTATCTGCAAGGATCTGGGTGATCCAGCAGCATCAGTGGGTTCGCCTATTGTGGTGAGTCGAAGCGAACCAATTCCTCAGTTGGAATCTCCTACAGCGGTGAGGGTGAGGGTGAAAGCCACGAGCTTGAACTATGCCAATTACCTCCAGATTTTAGGCAAGTACCAAGAGAGGCCTCCCCTTCCCTTCATCCCCGGCTCTGATTACTCAGGCATTGTTGATGCTGTGGGATCCCAGGTCTCCAAGTTCAGGGTGGGTGACCCTGTTTGTTCCTTCGTCTCCCTTGGCTCATTTGCTCAGTTCATCGTCGCCGACCAGTCCCATCTGTTCGTATAATCTTCCACTTCTTGTACGTGCTTATTTTGTGCTGTGTAGTTCTTTTCCCACCGTGAATTGCTTGATCG